AAGAGTGTGCAAAGCTGTCATCAAGGCAAAAGGGGGTTACTCTGAAGAATCTCAAATATAAATCATATTCTGGATTTTTTAACACTTTTTTGTTAACTAGATAATTCCATATGTGTTCTTTCATAGTTTTGATGTCTTCAGTATTAATCTACAAAGTATAACAAAATTCAAATAAACATAAACCATTGAATGAGAAGGTGTGTCCAAGCTTTTGACTGGTGAAATACGTATGTGTATGTGAAATCCTGTTCAAGTATATTTGCCAGTGATGAATGTGTTTTTGAGCCGGCGTCATTATGACAAGTCTTCTGTCTGTCAGCCTATTCTCTTTAACGCCGTATCTCAGGGCAGCCTTTGAGGGATTCTCTTTACATTTGGCACAAACGTCCACATGGACTACAGGAAGAATGAATTGATTAGCTATTGGTGGTCAAAGGTTAAAGTCACATTTCTATAAGGTTTAATATGACAATGTCATTCAAATGTGACAGGATAAAAGGATGAAGCAAAGACATTTTAGACAGACATGGATGCAAAGCAACTTGACTGCTTTGTGGGGTTATACTGTGGTAGTTGTAGTTTATGAGAATAAACTGATGTCAGTGATGTGTCTCCAGCAGATGCTGTGACCCTCCACCTGACCTCCATGACCTCTGGATACCTGAGCCCCTCCTCAGACAGAATACGACAGGTCCGTATGAATACCTTTAATGCACAACCTGTCAGGGTACCATCTTTCACAGAAACTTCCTTTAAAAAAGAAAAGTAACAGAAGTCAGAATAATGTTACATAAGTGTCAAATAAAGCTTAGTTTCAGTTTTTGATTTCACCCACATTTTAAACTATTGTCCACATATATGCGGACATAATTAGCATAATATGTTAGCATAACAACTTGTGCTAACATCCGGCAGTTTCTATGTGCGGGGGACCGGTACTATACATTTCTATCCCTAAACGTTGGGGTACTTCCCGGGTTCACTATCCTGGCAACTGGACTACAAGGTTAGCAGTGGGAACAGAGAAGAGACTTAGATCATTCCAGTCTGTCCAATCCTCAGCAGAGAAATGAATGCATCCCTCCAGGCGAGTGTCCTGATTCTGTGTGTGGAGCCTTGATGTTCGCCAGTGTGCAATATGTGTTCTGTTGAGACATGTTTAACTGGCAGAAGTCAATGAAAACACATCAGGTCCACAGTGTGAGGCTCAAAACACACACCTGCAGCAAGCAAACTCTGAAACACAGAACAGACCCAATGTAGAGTGACGGATTACCATTAACCAGATTACGTAATCAGCATACAAAGAAAAGGTAACTCAATTACAATTACAATAGTAAATAAGTAGTCAGATTACGCTTACATTTTTTTTAAATAGAGATTACTAGCAGGATGACAGTGTTACAAAACATTTTGAAATAAAGATCGATATATTACAGGTAGAAGTACTGAATAAAATGTCTTGCAAGTGGGCACCTGATTTATTCAACAAGAATACAGTCTATGCTTTTGATTAATGTATGAAGTTTAAACAGCCTTTGTAAACTTTACTGTTACTACATTTGACATGAAATATCTTGGTTACTGATTACATTTTTGACAAATAACTAGTTATTGTAACGGATTACATTTGTAAAGTAACCCTCCCTCCCCTGGTGACATGAAAACAGCTGATCTGTGGAGTTTCTAAGGAGTTCCACAGTGTGTTCAACTTCACTATAGTGCACTTTGAGCTTTGTACTGCACAGCATTTGGCTCGACAGGTTCTCCCCCATTGGGTCGGCTGTGGCACACAAACTGTTCGATTAAACCTAAGTACTAAACAGTTAGAGTAGTACCAGAGTAGATTTCTTTTGTCTTGTTTCATATAAACCCATACAGTATGTAATGAGAATACTGAGCAATAGAGCAGGGTTACGACCTCAGATTCTTCCTGTCAGACTGTGTTGAGGGATAAATGTGTCACTGTTACAGCAAGCTCCGTGTTCCGTGTAAGATCTGTCTAGAGCTTTAGAAACATAATCGTCCCTAATGTGGAACATTGTCTTTGGCTTCACCTCATTTGTTATGAATGAAACATGAAACAATAGTAAGAAACAGTCAAAACATTGGAACATGTTCAACCATTTGTAATATAATACAGTTCAGTTCCATCCCTTTCTTTGACAGTCACTTTTTGTTTGTCTGCCTAGATCCTGAACAACTCGAGCTGGAAAGCGTGTTGTGTTTCTATGACAACCAGGAACTATGCATTTTCATGTAGTAGCTGTGGCAGAAGTTCATATTAAGCAAAGTGTTAAATACTGTGATTTTCCTCCTGTTTCCGTATATTTGAAAACATAACCAATGTGACTTAGGCATTATCAAACCATCCAATAAATGATCAGTGACACAGTACAAGGTTTTCATTGTGTTCATTTTGTTGCCATGTTTGAGTTTGACTTGCAGCTGTCTTTACATTGGATGTGAGGTCATTCAAAGTCATTATTTGTCTTTCTTTGTGTTGTAGCCAGTTCAAGATGGAGATGAAGAATGCACCTGCCCAACATCTACTTCACCAGGTACACACATTCATATTAAATAGGAAAATCATGACTCAAGTCACTCATTTCTGGGAGATCCATAACGCTTTTTCTCCAAAAGAAAGACTTTGCAATTCCACAGTTGTTAACTGCTTGAAAGAATACTTATGCCTGCTATGACAGAGGTGGGAGAAGTACTCGGATCTTTGTACTTGAGTAAAAGTAGAAGTACCAGAGTGTAGGAATACTCTGTTACAAGTCAAAGTACACCATTTACCTCTGAACTGTAGTGGAGTAGAAGTACAAAGTAGCAAAACATTGAAATACTCTAGTAAGTACAAGTCTCTCAAAATGTAAAGTTTACTCAAGTACTTGAGTAAATGTACTTAGTTACTTTACACCATGCCAAATAATGACATCATTACTCAGGAATTAGCCAATCAAATTGCAGTGGGGCAACATATAATGTATTGCTGAAACCTTTGGGTATTACATTGTAGGATACTGATATATATATATATGAATAATAACAACATCAACCAAATCATCATACATAATCCAGAATGATATGAACTTCAATCAGGACAACTATAACCCACCTTGTGCATCTGCCACTTGCCCAATTTGAAACATTGCCTCTGAATAGGAAGGTGATGATGTGGCTGCACCTGACAAATGTTAACATTAACAATATTTATTGTGAAAGTTGACAATATTGACACATGGGGGATATGGAGAAGGGTCAGAGTATGCCCCTTGGAATCTTGTCATTTGCAATGAAGACTTTCTCTAACTCAATTTTCCTTGTCCATCTCTGAGCGTAGACTTCCCCAAAGAGCTGCAGTTACTGCACAGCCCTTGTGAAAAGTGCTGCTGCCCGGCCCCCCCTCCCAAGATAAGTGACCTCATGAACGACAAAGACCTCCTGGATCTACTGCGGCTCAAGCTGGATCCAAACCACTGCACCATCAAAAACTGGAAGAACTTTGCTAGTCGCTGGGGGATGAGCTACGATGAACTGACCCTGCTGGAGCACCGGACCCAGGGCTCCCTGTCCCACAGCCCCACCCAGGAGTTCCTGCTGCGCTACAACCAGAAGACTGTCACGGAGCTCTCGGAGCTCTGCCGCCTGTACCAGCGCATCGACGTGCTGCGGCTGCTGCAGCGCTGGATGGAGAAGGACTGGCCCTCGCGCTGGCAACAGGCTCATTAGCCAGTGGGATTTCCTCTTCTTTATAATATTTGTTATCATTAGTAACTTTAGCAAGTGATCTTAAGAATCTTGAGAATGATTAAAAAAGTGACCAACACTGTTAAGTGCCTGTGGAGAATGTCAGCTGCGATGAGGAATCTCTGGATCTTACAGACAGTAAAGCACTTCAAAGACTGCCTACTGATGACCAGTTTGGCTTTTGAAACATGTGTTGCTGTGTCAGCAGCATGGCCAATCAGTCTGTTGCTCTGTAGGGTGCACCACACATTTGGTCAAACTTGGTGATCCCCAATTTCTTTCTTTAGCGATATCATCATATCAAATTTGTTCATACTTTGCTTTAAGTTAAAATTCCTATACAACTTACATTCCCAACATTATCACAGTTATTATGCTTGTGTGCTTATAAGCAAAGGTTAGCATGCTAACAAACCAATTTCAGATGGTGAACACAAATAAATAAATAAAAGTCAATATTATCTCTGCTAAACAGATAGCATGTTAGCAAGGTCATCACATGCATGTTAGCATGCTGAAGTTAGCATTGAGCTCAAAGCCTGTTGTGCCTAAGTTCAGCCTCAAAGAGAGGCTCGCCCGGCTGAAAGCTCTGATGTGTGTCTGACTATGTGTCTACATAGACTCAGAAGGAATGGCAGAGTATTTATTTTGTATAAAAGATGTTGTTCTTTGGAAATAACACTCCCTGTTAACAGGATCTATGTCACAACCTTTGAGAAATAATCGTATGGGCTCTGTCTCGTTTACCGTTATTCCATTGGTGGAATGGAGCTATGTGAACGATTTCTCTACGATTGAAAAGTTGTATTACTCGCATCAATAATTATTATTTCATAAATGTCATCCTATTTTGGTCTAACCAAAAAAATGTTCTCAAACATTTTAATTGTAAAAAGTGTGAACTAAAACAACAGTTGAAAGTGTTCATGCTAACATCAACGGCCTTTGGCATTTAGTTTGTTCTTTTTTTTAAAGAAACAACTGATTTCTTATTGTACTTTTTTTTCAGTATGAAATAAACACATATCAAACTCTTTAAAAGCTTTATTCATTATTAAAGTAAATATTATGTAAATACATAAAGTTACACCAACCTTTTGGGTTTTAACTAGAATAATATGTTTTGTCTTATTCAAAAAGTTGATGTTCTTATGACAACATCTTAGTTTCCAAATAATAGAAAGCAGAAAGCTTCCTGGAAAGAACTCTGCAGTGAGGGATTCACTATAGTGAACATGGGAACAGTGTTCTTAGTTATTTATATTGAGTTTTTTTATTGAACAAACAAATAACAAATACATTCACTCACAATTCTATTATCATCTAAAGATGAATGCACTTCTCAGAAACAGCTCAATGTGATCACGTGCAATACAGAGGCATTCATGTAATAAGTAACATACTTCAAAATCAACAATCTTTAGAAAAAAAAAAAGCTTATATAAATAACAGGAATATACACATAGTTCATAAACACACGTTTCTTGACTAGGCTACATAAAGTTATGACATAAGAAGGATCATGTAGCTTGCATTATCTGTGGTCAATTCTAGGCAAATATTTGGTTAAGTTGAATGTATTTACAAAGTTTCTGGACTAGCTTTTCTTATAGCCTGGCAGGAATCATTCAGCCTCTGAATGCTTGATATTAAGGCCAAGCATGTTGGAGAGGCTCAATGACAATTTGTCATTTTCATCTGATGTGGAAATTTCAGGGGTCACTAGGCCCAGTGCAGACTCTGGCTTTTCTACTTTGAAGGTACCTCCTCTCATCAAAGAGGAATCTGCTTCTGTTGAGGCACTGATATCCAGACTTGGGGCAGCTAGCTTCAGATCGATATCAGCCTTCCCTTCGCTCGGTGAGATGCTAGCTGATGGTGTTTTATTTTTTGCCATTTTTAGTCTCTCCATGATGTCAACCTTTTCTCCTGCTTTTGATGTTGCATTTACTATTGGCAAGCGGATCCCTTTGCTGACTACATAATCCTTTGCCTCAGTATCTACTTTTGATAAGTTGAAGGTATCATCAATTCCTCCAATAGCATCAATGCTGTTCCGGGGCAGTCTATGGGTTTTGAATACAGGCATCTCCATCTCTGCATTAGGCACGTCAGTCTCAGAGTCAGTTCCGGTTCCCTCTTCATCGGTACTTGTACTAGACTTTAATCCCCATTTAAAGGGCCATCTAAGCTTACTCTTTGGAGACTCTTTAACTTCAGCCCCTGTGGTATCCAGTTCAGGTGTGCTGAAGCCTGACCTCACTTCAGGAACAGAGACATTTCCATTAGGTGAACTGATGCCTCCTTCTACAGTGGGAGCTTTGACCTTCACATCAGGTGAGACTTCAAGATCTGCACTGGTGTGGTCTGAAAAGTTAAAATTCTGGAACAATTTGGACAACTTGGACTGTTCAAGATTGGCATCTACATTTGGAGCTTCGGGTCCTTTGATATCCACCACAGGAGTGTCAATGTTGACTTTTGGTGCCTCGATTCCAGCCTCCACTGAAGGTTGAATACTTGGAACTCTTACCTCAGGACTTGGAAGACCAACATTTGGCAAGTTATAATGAGGCATATTAAATTCACCCACATGGGAATCAAAACCTATACCTGGTGTTTTTAACTGTGCATCAGGTACTTTGAGGTCTGCTTTGGGCAGGTTGAGGTCCACATTTGGCAATCCTGTGTCTATTTTTGGTGCTGAGAGGTTTCCATCAATGTTTTGTGAGGGCAGGCTGATATGTGGTGCATTCAGGTTCAGGTCAGGTACATAACGGTCTGCCTTTGGTAGATCCATGCTTGGTCCCTTAAGATCAGCTTTGGGCAAGTTAAGATTCACCTGGGGAGCTTTAACATCTGGGGTAGAAAGGTCTGGTACGCTGATGGTGGTCTGTGGGCCTGAAAGGTCAATATCTGTCTTAAGTGAAGAACCCACATCTAGATCTGGAGTACTGAGGTCTCCTTTGACAGTGGGTGCAGAGAAATTCAGGTTAGGTACGTTGGCATCAAGATTAAGATCAGGTTCTTTTACCCTCAGCCCTGATGAACCAAACTTCGGTAAATCTATTTTGGGGAACCTGATTTTTCCAGCTATGGCATCAAGCTCTGGAGCTTGAAGGTCTACAGCAGGACCTTTCAGATCAGTTTTTGGCAAATGAATGTCAAAATCTGGTGAGTCTATCCCAGCCTCCATTTTTGGGGTTGAAAAGTCTGGTGCAACCAAATCCACCTTAGGTGTCTGGAGGTCAGTGTCTGGTACCTTCATATCAGTATCAATTCCACCCTTCCAACCCTTCAGTGTGCCCACTTTGGGTTTCTTGAAGTTAAACCATTTCCCTTTTCCAGAAGGACCTTCAACATCTGGACCATCAATGTCTAACTTGGGGCCCTCCAGGTCAGCATTTGGTAAAGTTAGATTAACATCTGGGGCATTTATTCCACCATCAAATTTTGGAGACGTGAGATTCAAATCAGGGGCTGAAATATCAGCATCTGCATCTAGACCATTAACCTTAGGACCTGCGAGGGACCACTTTGGAGTTTTAGGCAATTTCCCCTTCCAAGATTGACCCTCAATGCCTACATTTGGTGCATTAACATCAACACCAGCGTTGGGTAAATTCAGATCAACATCAGGCCCATCAAGGGATGCCTGAGGAGAAAGACTCAGGTCAGGAGCTTTAACATTAGCATCAAGGTCAACATCTGGGCCTTTCACCTTTGGCCCATGAAGCAGGAACTTGGGCTTTTTGAGTGTTGGGAATTTAAATTTGCCATGAGGGGCCTCAAGGTCAGCACCTGGTGCTGTAACATCAACATCAGCTCTGGGCAAATTCAGATCAACATCTGGTGTGGAAATATCCCCATCAATTTTTGGAACAGAGAGATCAACATCTGGGGTGCTTAGATCTGCATTCAGGTCCATATCAGCTTTGGGGCCATTAAGTTTTTGTTTCTTCCATTTCAAATGAGGCCATTTAATATGATGGTCTTTAGCATCCATGTCAAGATTGGGGGCCTGCAAATCTACATTGGGGCCATTAATGTCAGCTCCTGGAAGATTCAGCTCAGCATTTGGTGCATTAAGGTCACCATCAATCGTTGGCGTCGACACATTCAATTCTGGTGTGTTTAGGTCTGCATCAATGTCTGCTTTTGGTCCTTTAAGTTTGGGTAGCTTCCATTTCTGGTGAGGCCATTGGGCTTTACCGGAATTCAGATTTAGATCGGGGCTTCCAAAATCAGCCTTTGGCAAATTGATGTCAACATCTGGGCCATTTATTCCACCCTCCACTTTTGGAAGGGAGGCATCAATATTTGGTGTGTTCAGGTTTGCATCTAAGTCTAGATCAGCCTTTGGGTCATTAATTCTAGGTTTCTTCCATTTCAAATGTGGCCACTTGGGTTGAACAGGTTGGGCATCAATGTCAAGATTTGGGCTTTGAACATCTAAAGCAGGGATCTTTAGATCTGCATCGATCTTTGGCGTGTTGAGGCTTACATCAGGTGCGGACAGGTCAGCATTTAAGTCAGCATCTGGTCCTTTAACCTTGGGACCTTTCCATTTAAGATGGGGCCACTTGATTTTGCCTGAGGGTGCCTCAAAATCAGCATTTGGGCTTTCTAAGTTTACATCAGGGCCATTGAGATTCACTTTCGGCCCATTCAGATCCAAACCTGGACTATTAAGATCTAATCTTGGGGCTGATAGATTGAGGTCTGGTGTCTCTACATTTCCAGAAGGGAGATCTACATCACCAGAAACATCCATTTCTGCTTTAGGCGTTTTGAGGTGAGGCAGATTAAAGTGTGGCATTGTGAACTTTGGTGCCTTGTACTTCTTGTTGCCTGTCTTGAGTTCCGGTTTCTCAATGCCCAGCGAGGCATTGGGGGTGTTGAGCTTTGGAGCTGAGACACTGATATCAGGTGCTTTGAGGGTGCCATCAAGATCCCCATTTACATCAGGTCCAGACAGTCCTAAGGAGGGCATTGTGAACTTGGCACCACCATCAGCTGAAGGCTCATTTAGACCTAAACTGGGAAGACCTCCATTGAGAGTAGGACCACCTATTTCCCCCCCCAACCCCTTTGAAGCATTTAGCTTTCCCCTCATGTCATTAACGGAAAAAGCTGCTGCATCCAGTGACCGGTCTTCCTTTAGGTTTAGCATCTGTTGGTGATGGAGTGAAAAACAAACAAGGTTGACATCAATGAAAGCAGCTCATGCGTCAGTTATCAGTTATATTAAGCTTTAATACTGTTTTTATTAACACTCGGCTAATAAAGAAAAACCCTGTCGCTAGCTGCTGCTACTATGAATTATAAAAATGTGCATTTAAATTGTAGTTCAGTGGAGAATGACTTTGACTACCTAACACAATGTCACATCTAGAGGAGAGTGTTGGTTTTTCATCAGGGTGTGACCAACCCTTGTGAGGTGTACCTTTGAAGGGTCATCAAGATCTAATCCCAAGGAGCCAAGGTCAGCACCGGCGCTGAGCTGCTTCTTTGTCAGAACCTTCATGTTGTCATCATATGGCTCCAGGGCCTGCAGGAATCTTAGCACTTCATCTTTGTTGAGGTGGTCCAGGTGTATCGTGGCTGCTACAATCTCATCCCCTGGAACCAGTAGAAACAACTCATCAATACCATCAAGTTTCAGTATTTTCCTTCAATCTTTTTTTTTGCAGATATTCGTGTAGTTTCCAAAACTGCAGTAAGAATATATACTTGTTTTTCTCTTACCTGCTCGTAGGCCACTCTTTGCAGCTGTGTCATCTGTGATTCCTGTAATGACAACTCCTTGCTCAGAGTTGTCTAGGACGAGGCTTTCTGAGAATGTTCTACTTTTGCTGTCCTCACTCTGTTCAAAAGTTGTTGACAGTAAACAAAATGAGACAGGTTTGCACTATTTTCACACATCGGCACTATTTCTGTCACAGTCCGTCAAAATTGAGCACATCAAAAAAGTCATTTTGTCATAAAGACATTTGCTATCACATATAATATTAAGCAGGTTTATATTGTCATTTGACAAACTTACCATCATTTCTTAGTTGTATTTACATACACATATCATCGAATGTATACCAAAGTACAAGAAGCCATGGAAACTCCAAACCCAACCAAAGTTACCTGTAAAACAGAAAAAAACCACAATTGTAGGTATTATTTGGTGTTAATATAACTTCACTCAGTAATGTTACCTTGCTATGTACTCTATGAAAGATAAAGAGAAGAAATGCAGGATTCAAACAAATGATAATTCCATCTGCGAAACCAAAAACCCCTTTTATTTTTTCAAATAAATGTACAACAAGCAACATGGTTTTCATGCTATATGTAAACTATCTAATATGCAATTAATTAACAAATTGGAAAGGGATATGATAGTGAATGTTTGCAAGTGATGGTTTAAAGTATTGGGTTTTTTTCAGTTTAAACTGATTTAGGTTTGAAGTATTTATTCTTAAAAAAACAGGTACTTTAAATGTGTTGACATGCAGATTAGGTTCAAACTCAAACAGACATATCTTTTGAGTTTTTAACCAATTGACCTATTCAGTTTAATGGCTTGTTTTCATGTTCTATGTTACCCACAATACACCTGTACAACAACCTCAAATCTCTGACCAGCACCATTGAAAGTCACATAGCACTAGAGTTCCATCAGCTGGCTGTAGCTCTCACTATGCCTATGCTCTTAGCATCTCCTTCATCTTCTAGCTGACTGACAGAAACAACAACACCCACACCATATCACCTCACACTTCAGGAATCCCAAGCGGTTTGTTCGGGGAATGTAAGCATCTAAACCAGTTGGTTTGGATGCATACGGAATGACACCACATCACTCAGCTCAAATACACAGCCCTCCCTTCAACCACACCCCAACATCTTCACATGCAAATGAAATGTACTTAGGTACTTAGATTAGGTTTTACATTTAATGTTGCAATATTGGTTTGTGAAACCCAGTATTACTAACCCTAATCCTAAACTCCAAACCGTTCAATAACACTATTACTAGTAAACCTTCTACACAGATCAGTGTGGATGCAACATTAATGTACAGACCAAACAACTCAGCCCTACCAATGTTCTTATACTTAGCACTGAAACATCAACAACCTTGCTTTGTGCAATGAGAGAACACATTCAAAAGAATCCACAACTTGATGTCAGCTCCACCTCATGCATCTTTTAAGGATATACAATCATGCCACTAGTGTTATCTTATAACCACTTTTTAGAATCACCTTGATTTCAGAGAAATAACAAAAAGAAATACAGACTAACAACAGGAATGTTCAGTTCCTTTAGGCTCAGTGCAGACTTCCCAAACCAGAAATATGTAATTAAAGAACAGAGAGTATGGTCACTAGGTGTATCCACTAAAAGAGGGTGTCAACATTAACATTCATTCCAGCTACATTGACTCACAGCAGGGTGTGAGTCGCACTGACAGCAGCACTCGTGACTTTTCATTCTTCGGACTATTCTCGATCTACAGTTTTAGCATTTCGTTTAAAATCCTCACTTAATGCAACACTTTTCCCGAGACCTTGACTGGGGCAACTTTTTCAAACATCAACTTTTTTTTTCAAACAATATTCAAAAGGAAATTGTTGAAATGATTACAAGACATTATGTAATCACAATTTATAAAGTGTTTTTTAAACCCAGTATGTATCCTTTCACCAAACCTCAGTTCAATCATAAAGTCAAGTCTAAACTCTTGTCCCTCGATCAGCATCACATGCACTGAAATTAATATTCATACTGTACAAGCTTTCTGTGCTTTATTTACAAAAGCCAATCACTACTTACTGTTTAAGTCTATCAGTTGTCAAGATAAAATGATCATTTAGTATAACATGAACTAAAAGAGAGTTAGATGGACTCACCGTGTGCTGCTGGCCCAGAAAGCGATGTGTCCTGCTCCGTGTGTCACGGCTGCTCTGTCAGGCAGGATGGGATGGATCTGTTAAATGCCATCAGTTTAAGCGAGCCAGCAGAACAGGTTAGGCTGCATCAGTACCGCCTCTGTGAGTGCCCCCTTTTCCCCTTACAACACACACACACACTCCCACACACGCACACACACACGCCTCAAATTCAAAGTATGTCACAGAGAGCGTCTCGCAGGCCTTTTGGCAGCCGAAACTTGACGAGAGCTCAAAAGAGAAACACACCACTCCTTCTAACAGGACTAACCAGGTTTACTAAGAGAAACACATAGCAACCCTGACACACACACTTACACTTCACTCACACACTTCCTCTGACATCTGACTTCAATGTTGTAAACATATTAATAACATTTTTTGGCACTTTGGCTGTTATAATGGCGCGTATACGTTTTGTGGGATTTGAGGTTATTGTGACGTTTCTGCTGACAAGCTTTTGTGTCCATAGAGAGAAGAAGACATATATTGAGGACATGATTCGTGCACACAAATTTGATCTCATAAGCAAAGATTATAATTCTTCTCAGTCCTAATTTAACTTACTCCATCCCACATTTTGATTCATTCTTGGAATGAGCTAAATAGTGGAATAGTATTGGCCCCTGATTAAGGCATTTTAAGCTTTTAGGATGAGTTATCAAGACATGTTGACAACTCTGCTTTGCAAGGGTTAAGGGTTATTGTTCATAAAAGGCAAATAAGGAGGAAATTGGGAGGCGGTGAAAAGGTGGATGGTTTCCAGTGGAGGTATTCAGAGTGTCTGGAGCGATGCTGGCTCTGTTAATGCACTCCTGTACACAAAGGAACCAACACATGGGAAAGATTTTGTTTATTTAAGGCCATTGAATTGTGCCTCAATTTATTTATGAATTGCTCTCTAAGGCTCTGTAGTAGTTTTACAGATCTTAGCAGTGTTTTTTAAGATATTTGCCAATTACAAAGAGCTATTGATTGTTTGCGGTTATACACTTGATTTTTAGGGAATGTAAACAATTAGTTTTTATTGATTCGATACTGCGTTTTGATTCATTTCAGTGCATTATGTAAAGTCGCAGAGATTCATGTCTGCTTTTATTGCTCGTGTTGTCGCGGTGCAGACTTTGCAAATCAATCAACACTAGTTTTTAACAACAGTAACAGCAGACATGTTTCATATTCCTACCCCCTGATCTACATACCATAGTAACATGAATGTGAATCAACAGCTTACAGGACTGCTCCAATAACACGTACAAAAATCGAATACACCACAGCTCATCGTGAAAAGCAGCAATTTAAATAAAATGCTTCCGAAATTATTTATTGTGGCTAAAAATAATACAAAGCTTTTTAAATACAAAATGTAGGATAGTTTTTTAAATACAGATTGAACCACTAAATGATGGATGGTTCATAGTTACGATTAGTTCAGCGTCAAACCTATAACGGCAGTACTGCTTAATAATAATAATAATAATTCACTAACATGGGGGACACTGCAGAATGAGCAACCTACTTTTACTTAATATCATTTGCGTTTATTCTTCTATTAATAATGTTTACTCTTTCTGCAAACTGTTTAGGATATAATGACCATATAAGGTATTACCTATTGTTTTACAGAGCTCCGCCCCCACCAACACAACAGTAAATGATCCCTACATTCTTCAAAAATGTATGTTTTTACTTTGGTACTTCAATGAAACTTGCCTGATTATAATTTATTTTGCATCAGTCTCATACATTTGACGTGCTCTTGTTGCCAGTAAATCATCAGATTTGTATTTCTATGGTCTTTTATACATTCCATTTTTCAACAGTTTTTCAGTTTCAATACCTGGCCTTCTATGTGATGGCAATGGTAGAAATACACCCTCTTTGATGTTAATGAAGTGACATTCACGGGTGTGTTGGTTAAACCCTGTGCTAAATTCGTTGTGGTTTTGTTGTGTGGCAAACCAGTTATTTTGATACAATATTGCTTTAATATCGTCTTCAGTGTGGAGCATACCGAGCTCTGCTGCATGAGTCACCACCCAACCCATCCAACCAATTAATACAATGTGATGACTGTGTACAGGGCAGGAGAAGGGTGGGGTCAGTGTGAGACAAAAGCCTCATGATGAGCCACAGAAACTACACTTCAGCATTTAGGAGGAGAGAGTTACCATGTGAGAGGCTTTTCAAGAAGCTTTTCAGGAAGTCAGTGTGCTAGTAAAGACTCTCACATGCTAACTGATGTCTGAGGTCTGAAATAAAATCCATCCTCCACCTTGAGGTCACAGAAAACTGATGAGACAGACAGGAAGTCGATTTACTCGGAAGGCTTCAGTAGAAGCTGCTGGGAGTCCCAGCAGCTTCTACTGAAGCCAGTCCCCAACTCCGGGGACCTCCGGCCGGGGACTCCGGGTGGCAGTATACGCCGTGAAGTTGTTTGCGGCCTGCCAGTAAACCCAAAGCAGAAGAAGACGAAGTGACGTCAGCGGCTCAGGGAATTTATTCCGGTGTGAACGCGATCTGTACTTAGTGCCCTGGGGTAATAAGTGCCGGGGCACTAAGTGCAGGCACTGAGTACGGCAAAGTACTTGGTGTGAATGCGGCTAATGTCTCTATTACATGTCTTCATGCTTTAATGTTCAAAAAGCTCTTTATTGTTCTCATACTGCCTGTGCTGCAGCACCTCTTTTCACCCTTAGCTGGCCAGCTCTGTTGTGATTGGTCAACCGCTTAGAGATGTCCCGCCCCTTAGCCTATAACGTACGTAAGGGATATAGGCAGCGAGGCGGTCAGTATTGGAAAAAGAACACCCGACAGGGTGATCAAACTGAACAAACTAACAACTTGACTCCAAATATGAATTGAAATGATTGTATTGACTTGAAAATGATCGTATTGCTTCCGCTAAGAAGCACCCAAAATCATATTAGGGACAATTTAAAGCAACCAAACTCAAAAGGAAACTGTTTCCAAACTGCAGGTTGTTCCAAAACAAGTTATTAACATCAAATTATACATGTCTTAAAAATGTATGGGACTCAGGAAAGACCAAAAAGCATTCACAAATTAAGAATGTGTGTGAGTGTGTGTGAGTAAGAATGAATGAAGTGTGTGTCTGCAGCAGTGACAAACGACCAGCTGGGTGGATGCTGTTTAAAAATCCACAAAATGACCAGATATTCCCCACTCTCTCACATACACAGCAATGTGTAAAGCCATTCAGAACAAATGACTTTCGCAGTATTGAGGGCAAAGGTCATCCTCAGCCCCCCCCCCCCCCCCCCCCCCCCCCCCCCCCCCCCCCCCCCACCAGGCTGTAGCTGTTTGGGTGTGTCGATTGAAGAATCCTATTTGCATGTGTCTGCCCATGGACTCTGACACGTGAATGAATTTGAACAATTTGTGGGTTCAGTTTCTGTCCTCCCAGCCCCCCAGGCAGATTGTCAGATGGAGGAATGCATCGCTGCAGAGAAGCTTCCTTATTTAAAGGACTGTGAGGTATTGACCTTATTTCATTATATCACATTTGTGTAGTGTTTTAAAAGTACTCAGATCCTTTAACTAAGTAAAAGTGCAAATACTATGGTCTTCAAATACTCCATTACAAGTAAAAGTCCTGATTTCTAAATGTTACTCAAGTAAAAGTAGAAAAGTATTAGCATCAAAATGTATTTAAAGTACAAAAAGTAAAAGTACTTGTTCTGCACAATGGCCCATTTCTACATAATATAAAGCACAGAAGTATTATCAGCTAAATGTACTTTAAGTATTAAAAGTAAAATGACTCGTTATGCAGAAGTGATCTTTCACAGTATTATATTATTATGGTTATTAAATTATCCTGTTTTTAAAGCATTTTAGTATTGTATTTTGTCAATGTGGACCAAATGTACATACTATAAATACTGTGTAGATTAGTACTAGAGTACTGCATTATACCAAATCGGCACATCATGTGTTATTAAGTGTTTAAAAAATAAAGGTAGTGGATTAAAAAGTACGATATCTGCCTTTGGAGTAGTAAGTTAGGAAGTATAAAATTGCAATAAATGGAAATACCCAAGTAAAGTACTTTGTTACTTTCCACCACTGCATTGTGACTGTTAGTGTTGAACAGTATGCAGTATCCTGCGTAACAGGGCCCTCATTTTGATTTGAAAATGACTACAAATGTGTGTTTTTGTCCAATTGGAACTGCTGCCACAGCCAGGTCTGAAGCATTTGAGCTCAGTTGAAGCCCCTTCTCTCGTAAAACATCCAGTCTCACATTTTACCAATAATTCATCTTCCTTAAACTAAATATTAGCATATTTAACCCTTTTTATTTTTTTAAATAAACAGCACCATTGAGTCTTTGTTTTTCCCACACTAAGCTCTCTCAGCTTTGAGTGTGGCCATCGGTCTGAAAATGTTCGCAGTCCGTCACGTTGTGTGGGTCAGTTTGAAGCTACATTCTTACCTTAGTGTACAACACTGATCTGGTTTCCACCCAATTTGACTGAGCTTTGAAAACATGATGCCCACTAGTCTACTTTCGAATATAGACATTAGATTAAAGATTTACCTTTATTTTTAGAGCACGCTCGTGAACTGTTAGCACCAGAGCCTCGCTGCGGGGAAACCGTGGCGCGCATAATTGCGCCGCATTTGCGCATAAGATGAGGTGTGTTCTGCGTGTAGGGAGGGGCAGCCCTGGTTAGCTGGTCAACCGCTTGAACAGCCCTCTGTTATGATTGGTCAACCGCTTAGAGATGTCTCGCCCCTTAGCTTATCACGTACAATGTGTTGAAGTTCTATAGCCAGTAGAAGCCCAACTGTTATGTAGTGATGTCACTATGTTCCAGAAGCAAACAAAGGAGTCCAATGGAGGCGTTTCAGGCAGAGGGGGGGGGAGAGAAACTCCCTCTGGGGGGAACACCTTTACCCCTAGATTCCACCGGGTCTGTCTGCGGTGCGTTACCCCTAGATTCCACCGGGTCCGTCTGCGGCGCGTTACGGACGCGTTACGGCTGCGCCGCGGTGCTCAAGGTGATCGCGGCCACTCTAGTCAATGGGTGCTAT